TCCTCAATTCGGAGTCGTTGGATCAGGTCCTCCAGGTTCATTTCCTTTCGCTTATGCTTAAGGTAATTCTTGAAGTCCTTCCACCTTGGAGGCAGCAAGTGGATAACAGATCCTACTAGGAAGGCTTCACTCAACGTCATGCCTTCGTCACGGATTTCATCAAAGATTAGTTGTAAATCTTCAACCTGACTTAGCACGATTTTGAAATCAACCATTTTGAAGTTAAGGAATCGGCCAACCACAAATTTCTTTGCGCCGGCATCCTCACTTCGGTATTTATGATCCAAGGCTTCCCACAGCGCTTTCGCTGTGCCAATCTTGCGATATACATCGTATAACGCATCACATAATCCGTTCAGGATGTAGTTTCGGCATAGGAAGTCCGAATCCTTCCAATAGCCAACTGCCATCACGGATTGGGCATCCTGTTCCCTTAATTCGAGAACCGTCTCGGTCAAGAATCTCGCCAAGCCGAGAGTTGCCAGGTAGAACAGCATCTTTTGCTGCCACCTCTTGAAGTTCGATCCACTACCGGTGAACTTCTCCGGTCTTTCGGCCGAACCACTCGGTACCGTAGGTACCCGAGTCATGGGAATATATCCCTCGGTGCTCCCACCATCTTGTGAACCAACGTTCACTAGTGTAGCTTGGGAATTAGCAACATTATTGCCATTCCCACCATTGTTGTTCTCAACAACATTCTCCTCCTCGAGAGCTGGCAAAACTGGATTCTCCATTTCTTCTAGGAAATTAGAGATAAACAACCAACGGGAAACAGATATAAGGTTTTAAGATTGTTGGGTAATATGGTGGAAAAATCCCAAAATAATAATAATCCTACGGAAAGATTAATATTATATGGGAAAACAGGAAAAACTGGGAAGGAAAAAGGTTGAGTGTTTGGGTATAGGTTTAGCACGAGTTCGAACACAAAGTTCTTTTCCTTAAAACCTTATTTGCTACCTCCCACAAGTGCTAGGAGCTTTGTAGCCTAGGTTCCCAAGGATAAAACGTGCTACGATTCCTTGTTTAAGCACCTAAACAAGGAACCCGGCAAACAAAGCAAAGTAGAGAACACTAGTTGGTAAAGAAGAGAGTAGAAGCAGAGTTTTGGGAAGCTGAAAGCTACTGGAATTCCTTTCGTTTTCGTACTGTATAAAAAACTACTGCTCTACCTCTCTTTATATAGGGATGTTGGAAGGGATAACATTCAACATGGCCTTTAATTGGTATTAAACCAATTGTATAACACCTGTAACGGTCACCCACTAAGTAGGATTAAACTCAGAATTTAAAATTGGAATTAAAACAGTAATAATTCCGTAACCGATGAGTTTAATCTATACAACAGGCTGAACTTTCGGGTTTCAGACCGTTGGGGTGCAGGTTCACACGAGAGCACACGGACCAGGCAACACGAGAGTACATCTCTCGTGCGCACTGTGGTGCAACCCGAGAGTGCACCACTCTCATGGTCACAGATGCACGAGAGTTGTGCTCTCGGTGCAGCACAGCCTCTCTTGCTCCTTTGTAACACGAGAGTAGGTCACAGATGTACGAGAGTTGTGCCCTCGGTGCACCACAACCTCTCTTGCTCCTCTGTAGCACGAGAGTAGGTGCTCTCGGTTCGGTTCCGACCGAAACAAGTGACTATACCAGTTGGAAAATGATACCGAAGTTTGGCATAACTTAGCCCGCAAGGCCAGCCAATTTCCGAACGACACTCGTGCCCGCAGGTGCCGTCGCACGCGAGCTCAGGCTTGATTTCAAGCCTTTTCGATCTCCTCTAGTTAGATTTTGATTTGCACCCCCCCCCCCCCCCCATTCGAGAGAGCCTCTATGCTATACAATTCTACAAGCTTCAAAAGAGCTCATGTATTTAAGGGGGGCAAATCTTGTTTCCAAACCTATGTGGGACAAAGTCCACTATTTTCCCTTCATTTCCCAACTCAAATGGGTCTACTTTGAGAATCAATATCTCATTCACCCATTATCCGTTTTGAGCGTACAATATATCAATCTCTTCGTCTCACTACGAAGAACCCGAATTCACTTTGACCCGACCCAAATCGGAAGTGGACCCCACTGATAATTGTACCACAAAATAGCCACTTAATATGCCATTTTATGCCATTTTAAGCTAATTTTTCCAACATAGACTTGGCCAGACCTGCGCCCACGTCCCATCGGGACTGGACTCAGCTTTCGCTTCGCCATCAATTCGAACCCGTGACTCGATTCTGATACCAATTGCTGGATCTCAACACTGCATTATAGTTATTTCCGGGTGGTCACCATCCTGTGACTGTTGTAAGTCAAACACGCTTAACCACAGAGTTTTTGACTATCTGGTTGTCATATCCTACTTAAAACCAATTGGTGATAACTAGGTGGACATTATTCATTTAACCACTTCCCTCCATGGTAAGCCACAATGTAACATTTTGAATTGAGCAGGGGGTGAACTCGGCTGATCCGACCCATGCCCAACATTTAAAAAAAAAAACAATAATTTGTTTCTATTGTTATAATTCTAAGTTTCTGTTTCTAACATAAACTATTTCTTTGAGATGTTCTATATATGTGTTTCTGTATCGGCATATATATCCATTAGGAAATAGATAAAAATGTGGGAGAAAAAGAAAAAGAAAAAATAAATTCAAATCTAAAGCGTCCCTAGCAAGTAGAAATGAATAAAGCGTCCCTAGCAAATAGATGGATTACTTTATTCGTGGATCGTTTAGAAAATACAAAGATAATTAACATTAGGGAAACTCGTAGCTAAGTCTCTAATATCATCTAGGATGAAATTGAATGATGTGTTGCAGTTGGTGTTCTCTTGAATTCCATTCCATTTTATTAGTAATATGATTTTTAAGTTTGGATATCATTATATTAGGATCAATTGTCTTGATTTTTTTTTTTTTTTTTTTTTTTGTGTTTTAAAAACTTTTATTTCCATTATAGTGTCATACATAACCAAACATCAATATTAGTAATCATTCCAATTCCACCCTACTACCAAACATGCAAAATACTTTCATCAAAATTGATGCGAATCTGGTTGGCCCGATCTTCTCTTCACACTCGGACTAAAATAATATTTTAGAATAGTTATACTTTCATCAAAATTGATGCGAATCTGGTTGGCCCGATCTTCTATTCACACTCGGACTAAAATAATATTTTAGAACAGTTATACTTTCATCAAAATTGATGCGAATCTGGTTGGCCCGATCTTCTCTTCACACTCGGACTAAAATAATATTTTAGAACAGTTTATTAGGTTAGGTGAAATTTGATTAAAAAGTTTAATTTAGGCTAGGTAAGGGTCTGTTTTTGTGATTTTTGATAAGTCCTCGGCCACACCGAGTTATACGGTGATCGATACGTAGGATTTCGGATGACGCCACAAGTGAAGTTTCACACTTGATAAGTCAGAATCACCATGATCAAATGGTCGAACTTTCCCGAGTTCTAGAAAACATTTAGTTTCCTATCTCAAAAATTTTCAAATTCTATATTTCATTTGGCATGCAATGGTGTTATATAGCCATTAACAAGCAAATTACAACCATATATAGTTATTAAGAAAATGATAAACCAATCCTAACTAATTAACAAACTAAGATAAATATTAATAGTAATATAATACTAACAAATTAAATTTAAAATAATTTTGAGATAACCATCCTAATTAATTAATAAAACTAATTATAAAATATTCTAACAACCAATTTTTGTGTCCACAATATAAATCTATTATCATTACCAAGTATTTGATCCCCATGTGCGAATTGAACCAAACACACCATTAATCAGTCCTTGACTTCTATTTGCTTGCCACAATTAGTCATATATCCTTTTAAAATTTTGTTAGTCTACCATTTAATAAATATGGCAAATATGTAATTTAATCATTCAACTAAAAGAGTTTACACGAGAATATAATGAGAGTAATTACATGTTGAGCCAAGAGACTTGAATGATAAAATTACATATGATTAATTATGACAAGCAAATAAAAGTCAAGGATATAATGTGACAAAATTAAAATTAAAATTAAAAAAAAAAACAAGACTAAATATGACAATGCTACAATATTCGTCGACTAACAGTGAAATTTGCTATTTTTACTTTTATAATTGTATACTTAATTATATTTCATCTAATTATTTATCTAATTATGTTTCAAAGTTAAGATAATTTCCAAAAACTCAAGCAATTTATATAGCTCAACTAGGCCAAGACTAACAACAACCACCACACCAAAAAACTCAAATATAATTATGCTTTTATTTCTCTTCAAATCCACATGAGAACTAACTTGAATTGATTGTATAATTAACAACTAATTAAGAAGGTTTCGTAATGGTGGGTTGTAGCTATAATCTAATTAAGTCGTTATCAATGGAGTGACCTTAGTGCATATCGGACAGCTGTAATGGAAGGTCCGCCAAACCATCCAATAATAATCCTCCTAATACAAGCATAGATGCATTCCGCGTATAGTTAGTAGGAAAATTAAAGGAAAACCAGCAAGAATCCTTGCATGCAACAACTCAAAAATATCACAATCATGGAAAAATAATCTCAGCGAATTTAATTCGAATAATTGGACTGATAATCACAGAAATTCAAGTTTAATTGGTGTGTAAGAGTTGTCTATTAGTTTTTTAAATTTGAACTGGTCAATTATAGGCAACCTAAACTAATTTACTTGTGAAGTTGTGATCCTTTGCCTGTACCAACGTCAAAAACTATATTTAATAATGAAAATTCAATTTCATTTCTTTATACTTGCATGCGTAGCAATCATCGCTATATTTTGATGGTGGATGTTGGACTCGATTCTCCAAGTCATCGTCCATCAATCACCCTCCCAAGCCAGCATATATATGTTAACCTCAACTGCACAACATGCTCTCAACCCATGACTTCTTGTTATACCAGTTGTTATACCTCCAAAAGTTATAGCTAGCCAGTAGCAAATGCACAACTTTATTTCCTTATACTTGTGTAACAGTCAACGCCACCAGGATGTTGGACTCGTTTCTCCAAGCCGCAGCCTAACATCCAACTAAGATCACAAGATGAACTTCATCAAAAGTACACTTTAAGGTATAGTAGTAACTGCGAGCTTTCTCGTAAATTAAAAATATGTAAAAATCGACTACACAGATAGCTTAGTTGCTCCTTAAATAATAGATTTTGGACAATATATATCACAAAATTAAGTCCTGATATAATGTAAAATTAGACCTAATATGATGGACTCTTTATAGGCACAATACATTTATCGAGTCAAATTGGATATGTAAAATTCTCGATCGATCGCGTCACTAATTCTCTTCAATTAGCTGTCATCAAATTATATAGAATTGGTTCCTCTTACCCATGCAAAAAGAGGCTAAGTCAACACGAATGAAATAATATCTCAAAAGCATATATCCCATCCATCCTTGGTTTTCCCAACTACTTCTTCCTCCTTTTTCCCGTTCCCAATTAATGTTTTATAATCAGCTGCCACCTAACTTTTGTAAAAACTAGGATTCCCAACCTTTAACAAGACCTAGATCTCATTAGCTACATCTATTTAGATAATTGTTTCAATATTTACTTTATTGAATTTAACGATATGTCTTGTTAAATTTTCTTCTCCTCAAAAAATAATCTCTAACCCCAATATATGTTCCGGCTCGATAGAGTATTTGAGAGAATGTGATGATTAAATTAATTATGTCATGTTGAATTTTAATCCCAAGGGTGCTAGGATTTAGTATGTGCTGGTTAGGCTAATTAACCTCTAAACAAAAGAAGAACATATAATTATAACTATATATGCGCAGCAAATAAGGGCTTCTAGTAAAAATTATGGCATAATTGTAAAAGATGGCATATCTATTAAATGTTAATATTCATTATTTGGATAATTTGTGTTATAGTCTTGACCAATGAAATTAAAAAAGAGCTAGTCGTCCGATGTGGTTTGTAGTGGCCGGTACCTCATTGCTCCAATAATAATAATAATAATAATAATAATAATAATAATAATAATAATAATAATAATAATAATAATAACAATAACAATAACAATAACAATAACAATAACAATACCAATAACAATAACAATAACAATAACAACAACAATAATAATAATAATAATAATAATAATAATAATAATAATAATAATAATAATAATAATAATAATAATAATAATGCTAAACTATATATTACAACCAATTAAAATTAAAATCCTCTTACTCTCTTGTCTTTGTCCCAAAGATGTCGAATCTTAATATTTTATAAATGACCATATCTCAATTGCTAATCTTCTCACTAATTATGGGAAACATTCACGTACAATCTTCCCTTCCACAATAATATAGTTTCTTTTTGCAATACTATAAAAGTGTTACGCCTCATATATGGAATAAATAATTTAATTTTATTATTTGCAAGTAATTAATTTAGTCTGTTTTGTTTAAAAGTTGATATAATATATGACCAATACAATTATTTATTACAAGTATATATATGAAGATATTGTCTTAGTGATAGCCTCAATTTTGATGTCAAATCAAATATTATGTGAATATTAGGGTTACATATTATTTTTTATTTATAGAAAAGATCACAATTATTATACGTGAATATAAAATATGAATGAAGCCCGTCTTGTAACTCTAACTGGCAAAAGACATAAGGAGGTGAATCACTAAATCAGTCTAGATTGCTCATAACTAATCAGTTCAAAATAAAAATGATAATAGACAATTTTCACGGAGAGGTAAGTAACCTCTAAATCACATACTAGGAACTTTATCCTGAGTTATAAAATAAAAAATAAAAATTTATAAACCTCATCATTATTATATTAATAAATAGTAGGAACATAGGTCAATGTTAAGACTTTGTCTACGTTCCGGTCCCGCCAACTCCTATCCTAGTATATAACGTAACCAAATCCTTAGGCAACCTACATTGTACTGGTTAATTATTTCAAGGTAGTCAATTTTCAAATTGAATTATTTTGGTTGATATAATTAAGTGTGACCTTTGATGAATAAAACTTGGTGAATTAATTAACTTAAAGATTGTATTTTTTTTAATTTAGATATTTTTGACAGAATAACTTGTCGATTGAGGTATAAGTATGCAATAATTATCTTAAAATTTATAATTTCAATGTATAATTCTAATTGTTGAGTGACGGTGACTTGAAGAGCTGAATACAACATCTGTTATCGAAACGTCACATCAACTCCTAAATAATATAAAGAAATAAAGTTACACATTCACTATTAGTTATTGTGTTATAACTTGACAAGAGTGCTTGATGGACTTATTAGGCTGAGGGGGAGTATTATATAAAGGGCAAGCTAGCCATCTCCATGCACACAAATATTCACACATCATTATTTAATTTTTCTCCCCCAAATAAGACTCTAAGACTCTTGCTTCCCAATTAATATAATCCTCCATGGCTAGCCTCGAAGCAACACACAGAGGCGGCGGCGGCGTTGCTGCTTTCATATTATTGTTAACGACGTTGTCGGCGGCTGGCATCGCCGCCGGCAACTTCATCAACGAGATTGGTTTTAACTGGGGGCAAGACCACGGCAAAATACTCGAAAACGGGCAGCTTCTAACGTTGTCCCTGGACAGGGCTTCCGGCTCCGGTTTCAGGTCAACAAATCAGTATATGTACGGGAAGATTGATATGAAGATCAAACTCGTACCCGGCAACTCCGCCGGCACGGTGACAACATACTACGTAAGTCCCATAATTTTATTCATTAAAAAAAATAAAGAAAGAGTGGAATATTATACTGTACGTACGTGTTTTATGTCTAATCTATATATATATGATATGATATGATGTGCAGCTGTCTTCATTGGGATCAACGCATGATGAGATTGACTTTGAGTTCCTTGGCAACTTAAGTGGTGATCCCTATGTTCTACATACAAATGTGTTCACACAAGGGAAGGGTGGAAGAGAACAGCAGTTTTATCTTTGGTTTGACCCCACCAAGGACTTCCATACCTACTCCATCTTATGGAACCCACAAAGCATCATGTATGTATATATGTTAAACCCTTTTATTATTACCCATGCATGCATGTTGACATTACATCTTTACCATATTTTAATTTCTATTGTTTCCATCGTATCGGTCAATATTATTAGTGTTTTGGAAATTCATAATTACTATTTAAAAGTATGTAAAATTAGGATAAATAACTGACCGGCTAGTTTAAATTAAGAAGATTAACATATCTTCTTGGAGTATAATAACTTGCATTGTAATATTGTGGTTATCAAAGTCTGGGGTCTTTGTGAGTTGTGTTTACTACTATCAATCATTATTATATTCTCATAAATTTAGTGCAATTAGGCATACCATGTATGATTGCATATATCCAATAATACAAAGTACGGGTGTCGATCAATATGAACTTCTGATCTTTTTATATTAGATCAATAAAATCATATATGCATGCTATTCCAGTTGTATCGAATACTATCGATACTTGTAATATCTGTATAAACATACATCATATCATATGTGATGCCAATAGAAAGGATGCTAGTGTCAATGAACTATACATGGTATATATATGTGTTGTTACATATATGCACCAAGTATTATAGGGACTATAATTGTACTTGGTACAAAAGACACTATTGATATCTTAAAATAGGGTGGGTTTCTGGTCCATACATAATGGCCAACAATACAGGGCCTCAAATTTAGAAGACTCAATATCTATTTTTGACCTAATTAATTAACTGGTTAAGAAATAAAATAAAATATTCCCAATTAAGCCTACATTTCTTCATGCCTCTTTCTATCTTGCATAAAACTCATGAGTTTTTTTTTTTTCCTAAATCACGCACCACCATTGAATAGGAAAGATTCTTCCTTCATCCATTAATTTTACAACTTCTCCCCAAATTTCTTTGATATTAAAGATGCAATTCAATTTTCACTTCTCTCCTAATTAATTATTGGGGCCTCATTTATTTACAAGAATGGGGCCACAAAAATCCAAAAATGTCCTGCAGGCTTAAAATTCCTGGGGCCTAGCTAAGCTAGAATGTAAAAATTTGGCAAACTTAAATGTTGACTTACTATATGCAGATTTTCAGTGGATGGGACACCAATCAGACAATTTAAGAACATGGAAGCAAGTGGGATCCCATTTCCAAAGGACCAACCAATGTGGATGTACTCAAGCCTGTGGGATGCAGAAGACTGGGCAACAAGAGGAGGGCTAGTGAAGACAGATTGGAGCCAGGCACCCTTCATTGCCTCCTACAGGAATTACAGTGCCCAAGCCTGCGTTTATGGCTCTGCATCTTCAACTTCTTCTTGCACCAAAAACCCCTCTGCTAATCCATGGCTTTCCCAATCACTAGACATCAGTGGCCAGCAAAGGATCAAATGGGTGCAGAAGAATTACATGATTTACAACTATTGCACTGATGCCAAACGCTTCCCACAAGGATTCCCACCTGAATGCTCTCTCAACTAAAAATCATTATTATATTATTATTGCTTAATTATGATAATGTTTGTAATCATATCTCTTTTCTTGTTTTTCAATCTTCTCATGCATGCATGCGTACGTGCATGTAAGTAGAAATTTAAGGGTTTTATATATTCTATTAGGGATAATGGCACTTTTCAGCTCTAAATTATATGTTTATAGTATATTTTCCACCTGTATTATTCATGTAAGCACATTAGTCCCTCAATTATTCTAAAAGTTACGATTTTTTTCCCTGATATATTAAATTGACATTTATATCCTTAAAGTAAACATTTTATTTATTTTTCTTCTCTGACAAATTATTACTTATACGTAGGGATGATCACGGTTCGGTTCGAACTGAACCAAACATTATAGTCTATAGCATTCGAATTGAAAATTTCCGGTTATGATTCATATCCAGAACCCAACATTTGGATTTCAATTTATTAAAATTATGAATCGAACAAACTGGATTATGAACCGTGAACCGGCGGTTCCGAATCCGCTCGCGATTTTGAACCGTCGTTATTTTAAAATTTTATTATTTATTTTTAAAATAGTCCAAATTCAACAATAAATGTATTTTTTTTTCAGTTTGGAACATGAACCGGCCGTTCCGATTTGCGATTTTAATAAACACTAAATATCAGGTTTAATTTCGATTCTAAATTGTAATTGAAATATTTCGATTTGGTTGCTATAGTGTCGGTTCGGTTTGAACAAACCGTGGTCATAATTTGTTGGAGAAAAAAATAAATGAAATATTTATATTTATTTTAAGGAAAAATATGTCCATTTAACATTTCAGGAGAAAAAATAGAGACTTGAATAATTTGGGAAAAAAATAACCACTTAGATAGTTTAAGGGTAAAAAGTGCTATAAGTATATATATAACTCAAGAGAAAAAAATGTTATTTTCCCTATTCTATTATATATATTCCCGGCCCATGCATATAAATTCAATTCTGAAGATATATCTATACATCAACATCCTTAGTTTCTAGCTCAGCTCACAATCTCACATATATCATGTTATACGACCAGTCTAGAATGCTTGGAGATCAGATCGTTACAACTTTTCTGTATTTTTGTATTCTTGCTAATCGCGCTTCGACTAAGGCAAAACTGCTCTAAGACATGTGTCCTCATCACCCCATTTAATTTGTATATCTGTAACATCTAATAACACATTTATATCTTATAAATAGCACATTGTAAGATCGGAAAAAGGACCAATACTCTATTCTAGTAGATCCGATCCGATCCAAGCTACTAAGAACTTTACTGGTACTCTTTATTCAATAAAGTGTACCTTTTACATTCAATTGACAGCCTATAAGAGTATCTCCATAAAGTGTAACTCCATTTGTGTGGGTTTTATCACCTTTATGTCAGAAATTTAAAAAAATAAATACTAAATAAAAAGAGGGTTGGCTACCACCAAGAGAGTTGTAGTACACGCCACACCAATAGTAACTCTTTTTATTCATTTTGTAGGGTCAACCTTTGAGGAAAAAATCATTCTTCCTACAATATTTTTTTTTTTTTTTCTTTTCTCTCCCTTTTCTTTTTCTTTCACCTAGCCACAAACTCTAAAAAAATCAAGCAAAATCCCAATTAGGGATGTCCTAATCGGCAAATTATGCTGTGCATGGTGCATACGGATGTAAAAACGACGTCGTTTTGTCTAAAAACGCACGTCCAACTTAAAAAAAAAAAATCCACTTTCGATTCCCGTCAATAACATTATGTTGTGCATAATTTCTGAATGTATAGTTATGAAATTATGAATGTATAATTATGCAATTCTGGATTTATAGTTATGAAATTATGGATGTGTAGCTATGCAATTCTGAATGTATAGTTATGAAGTTATGCAATTCTGGATTTATAGTTATGAAGTTATGAATGTGTAGTTATGCAATTCTGGATATATAGTAATGAAGTTATGGATGTGTAGTTATGCAATTCTGGATGTATAGTTATGCAATTCTAGATGTATAGTTATGAAATTATGGATGTGATACAATTCTGATTATTTTTTTTAAGTCGACGTCAAAACGACATCGTTTTTGCATCAGTGTGCACCATGCATGATGCGCACGGATGCACAGCATAACGACACGTCCTAATCAGTGTTTGTTGACGTTATAATGCTCAGCTTGAATTCAATCGTTATACCTTGCACCACGGCGCACAGTGCATTGTGCGCCCCGCGCCTCCCAAAACGACGTCGTTTTGGGAGGCGCGGTAGGAAGTTGACATGATTAAGTATATTTGTTTATACAATTATGTATTATTTTTTGTTATGTACATTTTTTAAACAATTATGTACATTTTTTTATACAATTATGTACATCCGAATCAGAAAATTTTTGTGTATTATGTTAAGAGTTGATGTGTATTATGTTAAAAGTTTATGTTTATTATGTATTATGTTAGATTACGTGTATTATCTTTTAAAAAAGAGTATGTGTATTTTGTTATATAATTATGTACATTCATATATACAATTATGTGTATTCTAGTATAACATTATGTACATTTTTAAACATGAGATTTTTTTATAAAGAAAATTAACTGTCAAACACTGGGTAACAAAAATTTTTTTAAAAATAATAATTTTGAAACAACGTCGTTTTGCATCTGGGCATACAATGCAACACGCGCCGTTATGCAGGATATAAATTGCCGCTCGAATTTACGCCAACCAATATCTACTTCTACTATAT